GAATAAAACCATAAGATAAGACAAAAGAATCGCTAAAGTAAGGATTAAAAAGGAAAAGTATAAATTATGGGCAATATTTAGTGAAAATCTAGACAGTCCTTTGGAAGGAATTGAAATATACATTTAAAAATTAAACAATTTTAGTGTGCTACCTCAATTTCAAATTAATAATAAGAAAATGAAGATGTTAATAAAAACATGGCTGGAAGAGCAAAAACCCTAAAAAATGGTTTCAAGATTGAGAGAAAAGTAAAATATTTGGGTGACTAATATGAATTGTATATCTTTTCAGGACAATTAAAACATGAAATGAAGTTATAAATATGCTAAGATTGGGAAAAGTACAACTGACATTGTTAGATAGAATTTTTATGAATAAAATGATGTTTTTAAAAAAACAGTAGCTATTTTCATAAAATATATATATGTCTCATTTTAACAATGGTGTGTTAGTTGGTATGGCAATATTTTGAGCAGGATTAAACTGTGGAGTCCTTGCTGCTCTCTCAGCCTGGTTGTTTTCTTGTAGCGATTTCAATATTCATTGCTGTCTCAGAAAACAAACCCCACTCCCTGTACTACTGATGAAGGTACCTAGTTGGGTAATGAAATGTCTCAAGAAAATAACCAAGCTGGGAGAGCACCAAGAATTCTAAAGATTAAATAAAAAAAAGTTCCAAGATAGAAAGGGATGAGGAGGACTAGGACTATCTGATTTGAGATTATATTTTGCAACCTGCAGCTTGGTTTGGTTGAATAAGTGAATGCTGCTAAAAAATAAGAGAATCTTAGAACTAGTAAAGCATGACCTAAAGTTTGGATCTCTATAGTACATTAAAGTTAAAGTTGATATAGGTTTTTTAAAAGTTCCAAATTGAGCATATGGAATAGATATAGTTGTACCTAAAATAACTATGGATCTCAGCACAAAAAGAATTTTAAAGAAAAGAAACAGCAGGCTAAAAGAAATGATTAACATATAAAGAGCTCTACATGAGTCTGGAAAATACAGAATGAAATCGAGAGAATTTGACTGTAGAGGGATTTAGTTTTCAGTAATTTTCATATGCAGAATTAAAAGAGATTTAAATTTTAAAATAGATAACAGGATATTTGGAATTGAACAGCACAATATAGAATTTGAAATTGAATTATATAAAATCATGAACGTATAGTTGCTAAAATGTAGTGTAGACTTTGGTGAAATTTGGAAAAATGGGGAAAAAAACCCAAGTTAAAGAGTGTGTGATAAAATAGGCTAAGAATATAGCCTAAGAAATAGGCATATACTATATTGCTTGAACAATGGGAAAATATGTGGCTGAAAGGATTGAAATTTATACTATTATTATTTAAAAGAGGTATTTTATAAAATGATGTACCAGAAAAATTGTTTCGAATGTATTTCAAATTTAAATAAGGGAAAACATGAAGGGTCATTTTATCATGCCAGGTGAACTTGCAAAAAATCCAGAAAATTTTGGGTTCAAATACAATGATACAAAGAGATTTAAAGATGAATATTCAATTCTAACTATAACATTTCTTTTTGGACTAACGGATGGACAGTTAGAAAAGAGTTATAGAAGATTGTATTTCTATATAACCATTGCAAAATTATTATATTCACAAAAATGGAAAGGCTATGAAATACCCACAATGGAGGAATAGATGGAAAATATGACAATTAGCAGATGTGTCAAAATTGACTTGCATAATTAGAAAAGGACAATAGTACATTTATCTCTGATTAATAATGAACCTGTGAGTTATGCACTTGATCTTTAGAAAGGGTAAACTGCAGAAAGAAGGAAGTTGTAACTTTGGAAAAAGGACAAAATATATTTATAAGCACTTTTAAGAATATCGGAAGTCTTTTTTTCTTTTCTTTGTTTCTTTGGGCTCTTTTCACTTGTTACTTTTTTGTTTACTTCCCTTTCTCTTTGAAAATTCATATTTTTTTCTTTTGAAATTTTCTTTTATAAAAATTATATATAAAAACACTTAGAAGGGTAGTTGATTTGACAAGTCTGTTTTTGAAAGGTGTTCTTTCAAAAGGCAGTTGCGTAACAGTAGAGCACAACTTTGGTTGAGGCTGGGTTCTTATAGTTCCATTTAATTTTTATGGGGCTTATTAAAAATCTTTGGCTTTGGCTCAGAATGACTCAGTGAGCATACCTCATTGTGAATAACTGATTGCTGCTGCTGTTATTTTTTTAAAGAACCAAATTACCAGTTCTCTCACACTGAGAAGTTTCTGATGTTGCATCAGGTTCTGTAAGGGTATTTTCTCTGCAGCTCTTGCTTGGGGAAATCTGGGTATTGGTGGGTAAGAAAGTGTCTTAGCATGCATACCACTTTAATTCCAGAGATTTCTGCTGTAGGTATGATTAATTTTGTAAATATGTTTGGAGAACTCTCATCTGGCACTCTTGAAACTGAATATTAATATGTCATTCTAATACTCTCCAGATGTTAAGTCAAGATGACAGTTTAGAAATGTAACCTTTATAGGTGCATACATTTCCTTTATTCCCTAACTATTACTTTTAACCCTTTTACCTTTCACTCATTTCTTAGTTTACAAACACAGGGTAGATTTCTTCAGAACTATATATTTGAATCCTATTTACACTACTAATGTATCTGGTTGGTTGGCATTCCAATTATTCATTTATTGATAACTTGTATATAAACAATACTGTGGGAAAGCAGCTGAGATGAATAATGCTCTTTCCAGAGTCACTGTCAGAAGCTAAAATAAATAGACAAAACTTGAAGATACAAATTTGTACCCTAAAGAAAATCATGGGGAAGAGTTTCCAAGCTGTTTCTATGTGTGTTAACTGAACTTTTATCCAGAGCAGAAGAAAACACTGATTATATTAAGCTTTATATCCATGTATGGTAGCTACCATAGCATTTCTTTTGTATGACAGTAATCTAGTTTGTATCATCCTCTTGCAGTTTTGAAATTAACCTGTAATTTAGTCTTCACCCCAAATGACAATAATTCAAATGACTCTGTGGGGTGCCAGAAGATGTTCTGTAAACAGGGCTCAGTAAAAGGGGATAAGGTAAAGATCCAACAAGCCAGGCTATTTACAATTTCATCTGGACTGGAGTAATATCATTATGTTGTCTACACTTGTAATTAATAATGAAATTTGCATCGATCTTTACAAAATTTTAGCAACCTTTTTAAAATAATAATTCATGGGAAGAGTTTAAATGAATAATTTTCTTTCAAAATTTTGATTCTGAAGTTATGTAATAAGTTTTGTTTCATAAATATAACATACTGAATTTTCAATTTCTCTCAACATTTTCTGTATAATTATCTAATACAACCAATATCAGTAATTAACTGCTAGAAGTTAGTTTTGAAAATGTCTCTAACATATCTATTAATTTTCACTAAAAATTTTAATTAATCTGCCAAATATATGACCACACTATCAACATCACACACTTCTTAACTAATTGAATTCTAAATTAGAACAATGATGTTTTTGTTATGGGCACATACATATTATTAGGATTCATGGTTAATAAGGTAAAATACGTTTGTATATGTCAGCTCATTATATTATGCTCCTTAGTTGAGATTCAGATTCATAGTTACCAACTGAATGTTAATATTTTTGTATGGTAGAACTGGTATGGTAGATTATGTTTCTTTAATGTATTAATTGGTTAAAATGCTTAAATTCTCTTTTTCATTTATAATTTGTAAATGAATGAATAAAATTTGGTTGTAATTAGTTAACTACAGTATATGAATGACCAGAACTGTAAAATAGTGCAGTTCAGTAGATAGAATGAGAAAAAAAGAAAATGTAGTAGATTTGCATTTTAAAAACAACTGTTGTTATGAATTATATTGTGATATTAAAATTGCTGTGTTTTCCCCAAAATAAGATAGGGTCATATTTTCTTTTGACCCACAAAATATGGTTTGGGCCTTATTATTAGGGGAGGGCTTATTGTTTTGGAGATGCCGGGAGGCTGATCCCTTGCAAGCGGGCTTTCGAAGAGCCGGGCACAGCCTCAGGGGTGAAGCAACCATGAGGTGACCATGCTCACGAGCAGCTGCCCTGCAACCCCCCTCTCCAGCTGGGCAGAGCACCATTCACTGACCTAGGAGGTATCCCTAAGGTGCCAAGCCACATGGAACTCTGCCCGTTCCCTAGCTCCCGCGGCTTGGCACATTCGGAATACTCCCTAAGTCAGTGCAAGGAGTTCTGCCCGGCTGGAGAGGGGAGTTGCGCGAGCGCCTCTTCTGCCCCCAGCTCGCATGCGTCCTAGCTTCACCAGGCCCTGGCCCAGCTCTCCCTGCAGGGCCAGGGCGCTGCCGCCGCTTTCACCACCACCATCGCGTTCTGAGCAAAACTACTTCTCCGGCTTCCAAACTCCGGAACTCGACTTCTGATTCTTCCAGCAGCAGCCGCTCTAGGAGTGTGCTCTATGGTTGTGGGCCGGCTGCCATAGGGCCCACAACCATAGAGCACACTCCTAGAGCGGCCGCAGCTGGAAGCATCAGAAGCCGAGTTCCGGAGTTTGGAAGCCAGAGAAGAAGTTATGCTCAGAGTGCGGCGGCACCCTGGGAGAACTGGGCCGGGGCATGGTGAGGCTGGGAAGCATGTGAGCTGGTGGCAGATCAGGCACTCGCGCAGCCACCCTCCAGCTAGGCAGAGCTCCATGCATTGACCTAGAAAGTATGCCAAATGTGTCAAGCCGCGGGAGCTAGGGAGCGGGCAGAGCATCACGTGACATGGCACCTTAGGGGTATCCCCTAGGTCGGTGAATGGTGCTCTGCCTGGCTGGAGTGGGAGTTGTCCAGGGGGCTTATTTTCAGGGGGGGTTATATTTTTGCCAAGCGAAAAATGTGGCAAGGCCTTAGTTTCAGGACAGGTTGTATTTTCAGGGAAACACGGTACCATTTTAAAGTGTGATCCTTTTTTCTTCCTGCTAAAATCTTTTGCTGGATTTTCTTTAAGGGATGACTTATTAACAGCGGTGGAAGTGTTATTTGATTGCTATAAGAAGTACGGTGGGCTGCCTAGACTTCATGAAATCTTATGTGGATTAATAGAGAAGGGAGATACTGAAACAGTGAAGAAAGGTTAGTCACATTTCTGTTTTCTCCTGTTGTTTCAGAGTGCAATGTTTTTATCAAATAAACTGTTGGAAAGGTTTGCTCAAATAAGGAGGTTCAAATAATAGTCTATAATAATAAGACACATTGTATTTTTAAACAAGTTCCCATTGCTGCTCTAATACCTACATGTTACATAGCTTTTCTTTGTTGTAAAATTATTGATATATGTAATTTTTAATTGGTTGGTGACTATTTAGTCATAGCTTAATTTTGTGATTTTCTAGCGGTGATTGTTTTATTTCACCAATATAAGAGACCTGTAAATGACATTGAATAAAAAATTACAATTGACCATATAACTTACTCTCTTTAATGTTTCTTGTTAATGTAAGTCAGCCTAATGAGTCTTTTAAATAACTCTTACAGTTTTCGACTTTCTCACCGAAGAGAAAAAACAGATGGGAATATTGTTTGATCTCTTCTTTGCCTTTCTGGCAACTGGCAAATACAAAGAAGCCAAGAAGATCATTGAGGTGAGAGTCTATCTAAAGTAGCCTAATCTCTTACAGCTATTTAGTGTTAATTGGAATTTATTTAAACTTTTTAGCCATTAATTAGTGTTGTTGTAATTAACATTAAATAGAGCTCAAATCTAATCACTTATGAGTGTAGGAAGCCAAGGGAGACCTTAGGCAGCTTTTAAAAATATGTATAATTATGTTTAGAAATGAAATAATCTCCTGCATATTCAAATTGTTTTTTTTTACTTTGTCAAATTTCCTATTAAATATCCACATAATATTTGCATATAAATCTTACATTGTGAAACAAATTAAACCAGCATTCCTGGGTGTAAAGTTGTTAATCCTCTTTTCTAACAAATTCTTTGTTCTTTAAAGCACTGGAATTTAATTTGCTGTAGACTATACTTAGATTTATTTGTAATGCTTGTCTAAGAGTTAATCAGCCAAACAGCAGTGTCTGCTGTAGCCTGATCTTTCATTTAGCTCTTCTTTTTCTCTTACTATAGTAAGCAGCTTATAGAGAGTGGAAGGTGTGAGGGAGTGAATTTGGGATTGCTGTCTCTGCATTTGGGAAAAGGAGGTATAGCCAGGGAGAAACATTTCCCACTTCCCTCATGCCTTCATTCACAACTATATCCAGAAGCATGCAAGCCGATATGGCAGATCCCTTTGATAATTGAGCCAGCCCTGGCATTTTCGAGAACATGCCAATGCCCAGAGGCAGCCTCATCCCACTCCTTAGCTTATAAAAGCAAATACTAAGAGTGAGAAAAGGGGTGTAGAAACATGATAAGCAAAGGCAATTGTTCAACATTGGCAACTTTAAGCAACCAAAAAAGGAGCAATCACATTGAAACAGCATCTCATTCCAATTAGCACAAGAACTTTTGAAAAACAAAACAAAGGTTTTATGCTACTTTATAGACTTTGAGGCTTTCATTTGAATTGGGTATTTAAACAACTGAGAATAAAGGCATCTGAGTATGAAAGACATTTACAAGACAACCCTTTACAAGTTCTAGAAGGATGGAGGTGACCAAGAGCAATATCCTGTTGGGGAAAGTATATATTGGGTACGGTTTTGCTATGATGTGATGATGTGTCCAGTTGGAAAGGAAAGAACCCTAACAGTAGGTGACATGATCTATGTAGGACTAGTATATTTATCTAGTTTTCATTGAAATTTTACTTTTTGAAATGGGCAAAATCAATTGCATTTCTCCTTGCCCCCAACTCAATATTCATTTACTACTTGCACATTAGTGAGAGCACCGGTGAGACATTAATCTTTGGAAAATATGAAATTTAATTTTGCTTCAAATGAGGAAAAAACCTCCAAGGAATATTTTTAATTATAATGTAGTTTGTAAATAATTGCACAGAAAGAACACATGAATTTATCTAAATTAATGTTAATTTTACTCAGCTACACCATCTGATTGACAAGTTTAGTTTTGAATTGTCAAAAAAGTTACAAATTAAAGGATTGATGAAAATTTAATCTAGCTTTTAAGTTAGGTAAGGGGATTATTTCTCTTTTCAACTTATGATAGAAACAAAATGAAAGATTATTTTTCCTAGGTTTTAAAATTTCCCCCCAAATTTACTTCTTTAACCTTGATGGTTATATATTATCTTCATTAACAGTTGTTAAGAAGCAGCGATGTAAACATATACTTGCCCTCATATCCTATTTTACTTGGAAGCTTTCTGAACAAATCTGACTGACCATAGTGTCATACTGAGTACTAGAACTGAGAGACCTATTGCTTTCTAGAGAAGTCCATTTCTTCCTGCTGTTTATTTTTTCCCCCCAATTTTTTATTTTATCAATTTCATATATACATTCACAATTATATGATCTCATAACTGTTATTAATAATATGTATTTATAACAATTTTTTCCCTACAGTTGACAATATACTTGAAAATTGCTTTCTTACCATCCCATAGATCCATCTTATCTTACAACGGTCCTACTTCTTCTTCCCTCCCTCCCTCTTTCCTTCCCTCGTTTCTTCTCTCCTACTCTCCTTCCTTCCCTCCTTCCTTCCCTCCCTCTTTCCCCCTTCCCTCCCTCCTTTCTTCTCTCCTTCCCTCCTTCCTTCCTTCCCTCCTTCCTTCTCTCCTTCCTTCCCTCCTTCCTTCCCCCCTTCCTTCTCTCCTACATTCCCTCCTTCCTTCCCTCCTTCCTTCTCTCATTCCTTCCCTCCTTCCTTCCCTCCTTCCTTCCCTCCTTCCTTCCCTCCTTCCTTCCTTCCCTCCTTCCTTCCTTCCCTCCTTTCTTCGCTCCTTCTCTCCTTCCTTTCCCCCTTCCTTTCCTCCTTCCTTCCCCCTTCCTTCTCTCCTACATTCCCTCCTTCCTTCCCTCCTTTCTTCTCTCCCTCTCTCCTTCCTTCCCTCCTTTCTTCCTGCTGTTTGATAAGTACTTATTGGTACCATTACCACTGGGTGCCCTGCTCTTCATAGGTCTAAATCTGATGCATCTATTTTGTAGCCTGTACAAGAAGTGCATTGTCTTTAGTGTATTTATGCTTCCCCCCTCTTCTTTTTAATATACGCAGCAATATTTTATTTTATTTTAATTTTATTCAGCCGTCTGTGCATAATTCATTTACCTTACATACACACACAATCAGTATCTTCTCGAGCTTTGCTAATTTATGCTAAGTACAATGCATTCAAGTGGTCATCACTTAATGACCACATGTGCAGTAACTGTTAGTTATAAAAGTGCTGAACAAGGAGACTTATGATCATTATCACTTATGACTTATAGCTGTGATCATCAGTGTTCCGCAGTCATGTGATCATGAATTGAGGTCTTGGCTATCAGCTCACAATTATGAGGGTTTCAGCATCCTGCAGACACACTTGCAATCTACACTGCTGGCTTCTGATACACAGTGTCAATCGGAAAACTGGCAGAAGGTTGCAAATGGTGATCACATAATGTTGAATGTAACAACTGAGCAGAATTTGCTAAATTGCAGCAATTGCTGCAGTTGCCATTACATGATGTTGTGCTTTATAGCCACATTGCTTAGCAATAGAGTTGCTGGTCCCAGTCATCATCCTTAAGCAAAGACTACCTGTATTTTTAATAAACATTCCTTTTTACTTAAAAAGTTCTAAATTGGAAATTATTTAAGAATTAAATTAAAAACTGCCAGTCAGCATCTTGGCTGGATGAGAGAAAGGAGGAGGACAACCTGTTGCTTTTTCACTTGACTTCAGCTGTTAGTGGTAGTTCACTATGGACTTTCTCCCCAAAAATAACTAAACCTTCAGATCTTTTGACCTCCTTCCCCTGGAAGAGTCCTCAAAATCATATTAGTTTGTCAACACATTTTTTAATGACAGGATGGTCAGAAGGTGCTTCTGCTATGACATGGTTTTCTGTTTGCTTGGGAAAAGAAGGTTTCAGTGCTGTTTCCCTCAAGTTATACTGTGTCATTACTTTTTTGTTAAATAGGGAGGCATATAAATACAATAAACAAATAAAATAATAAAATGCTAGTAAACATGTTGCTCTTTCAATAAAATAATTAAAATGCTTATTTGCTCTTTGTCAATTTTGTTTACACACACAAAATATACAACAGCAATAAAGCAGATGCTCCCTTAATAATTATAAAAGTATCTATAGGTAGGTTGGCAGAGATTAACACAATAGCAGAGACGTAAATGTGACATAATAGAGAAACATACACTTTTGACCCATTAGAAAGTAAATATGTTTGAAAATTGCAACTAAAATGTAGAATTATAGGTGAGAAGGAAACACTATGCAATTATATTTAGCTATATAATTTCTATTGGACTGATTAACAACTTTAAAAACAAACTTTATTAAAATGCAATACATAATTATAATCTATAATAAAGTATAGATGGATGTTATAGTTGAAACGTTAAACTCATTTTTGAAAATGCAGTAGGATGGTTAGAGATAAACTGCCAATACAGACTACTGTAGCAGTCCAAGAGATTTAGTTAATCTGACCTAGATGTTCTTTTAATAATTGAGAACATGGTATATGTGAAAACACTTCTCCATTTCAAAATGAAATGCAAGAACATCCATAGTATAATTCAGTGATTGGTGCAGAATATTTTCTTAAGCGAAAAGGATTTGCTACATACACTTTTTCAGCTTTTAAAGCTGTTTAGATAATTGGCATTTGGAGCATAAGTAATATTGAAAGTTGGAGGTGAAAGCTGAATCTGATTTTTCCCATTTCACAAAGAGGATTATCTGCAATTTCAAGTGAAACATAGTACTTCTGTATAATGTCAAGGGGCATAAAATGAAAATAGCTGATTTACATTTTTTAAAAATTAAAATATTAATTTTATAGTTGTAAAATGTAAATTTTATAGTTCTTGCTTGGTTATTTTGTTTTGTATATTCTCATCAAATAGATTCAGTATGAAATAAAAGTGATAATTGAACGAGCTCTTTTTCTTGTACCTGCTTGCAAGTATAACGTGAACTGTAAAATAATATTTAAAGATTTTTTTTTATTGTATTTGTCTGATAATCTTATTTTATTCTCTTTTGAATCTCTATGTCAGAAGGAAATTAAGTGCTCATATCTTTCCAAAAATTTACTGTTTCAGTGTTGCTATGGCATTGTTTTATAAGTTTGGCTACTTAAACTATTCAATTTTTTACCTGTTGGATGTTAAATATGATATACTAATGATATTACTCAGTAGAATAGGAATTTAGCAGTAACATAGATGGGTTTACAGAGTATTCTGAAGCAGTTGGCTGCAGAATATTCCTCATGCTTACTGGAAAATAACATGGGCTACTGGCTAGTAGGGTACTAAAGGAAATCTGTTTTTGAAAAATATATACTTCTGCTATAATATGAATAGGATGGTTACTTAACCCTATATATCTTTTTATTGTGAGTGATTATTGTGAAGTGACTGTCAGGAAGACAATTGTGCAGGAAAAAAAGTTTGGAATTGTATTGAAGAGTTCTAGATGCCTGACTTGCATTGTCAAAATGCAATATTTTTATTTATAACCCTTCTTTATTATATACTCCCTATACCCAAATCTCCTTATATCCAATGAATCAGAGGTGTCTGTCTGATCCACTTCCAAACATTATCTTGTTTCCTAAGACTTAAAAAATGTTTCAGCCCACTTTGCCTATATAGATAGTCCTCAACTTATGACCACAATTCAGCCCAAAATTTCTGTTGCTAAGCAAGACAGTTATAAAATGAGTTTTGTGTTCTAGCAAATTACCTTATTTTAAGTGAATCTTGTCGATAAATTGGTGTATACAAAATTTGGTCCTGTAACAGCAATTAAGGTAGTCCGCATCAGTAGACTAAAACATAAACAATAGGTACAAAAAGTCTATTTAGTCTTCAAGACAGAATATCTCAAGGAATAAGCACTTGAAAGTATAGTATTTATATCTATATTCTACCTTGGAATGTCAGTTTAAATTAAAAGCACAATTCTATTGATACCTTAAACTTTATTCTAAGAAACAAATGTTTTTGCTATTTTAGAATAAGTAAGAATTTTTTACTATAATGCCCAGTGGATGTTCAATTGATATTTGCCTTATTGGAAGCCAAATTACAAATTCAGGTTAGTAATTTGTTTTGAAGACATTATCCTTAGAAAACAAGTACTTACTGATTTTGAAATCTTCTTTTACAGACACCTGGCTTACGAGCAAGATCAGAAAGAATGGAATGGTTTGCAAACAAATGTATTACAAATAATAATGTATGTATACTATTAATTTTGGTTTGTGTATATTATTGATTCAGTAGAATTTTATCACATTACTATCAAATCATTCATATCCAAGGACAAATAGATTACTTTCTGCAGTGATCACTGAATAGTATTTAATCCAGTTTCCAGAAGGCAGTATTATAATTTCTCTGTGATTAGTTATTCTTGATTTCTTATCCTTTAGATCATTGCTTCTCAACCTTGGCAACTTTAAAATGTGTGGAGAATTCCAGGAGTTGAAGTCCATATGTCTTAAAGTTGCCAGGATTAAGAGATAGTGCTATGTAGATAATCTTTAAGGCACTATTATTTTCACACCATTCTTTACATGAATTGTGACTGTTTCTGGTCAAAACATGCTAGAAGCGTTGTCACTATTATAGATTTGTTCTATTCATTTTCATTTGTCTAATTTTTTTCCATTTTTCCCTCTTATGTTCAATCATGTTTGATTCTCAGAGACTATATGGACAAGTCCCTACAGTTTTCTTGGCAAAATTTTCCAGAAGTGGTTTGCATTTTCTCTTTCCAATAGCTAAAAGAAAGTGACTAGTGTATGATCATCCAGCAAGCTTTATGCCTAAAGTGGAACTAGAACTCACTTTTTCCCAGTTTCTAGCATGTTGCCTGAACCACTACACCAAACTGGCTCTTTTCATGTTTAAGGGAACCACTAATAATAGAACTTGTATTCTTCTTGTTCTCCTGTTAGGCTTTCATTTTAACCAAGTACAAATTCTTGCCTTAGGTAAAATGTACTGGGACTATCCCCAGAAAAACTTGTTACCTCATTCAGAGAAACTCGAATCTGGAAATTGGCTGCAATAAATCCTCTTGCAATTGTAGCTTATTTTGCAGGAAGCAATCATTCACTACTTCTTGTTGAGTAATTAGAAGCTGTTGATATTGGTCTATTAAGAAATTATAATAGGATAATTATCCTTTCATCCGCAAAACTCAATGGACAGTCCTTCAGAACACACAGCTGCTCTGATCACTCTCCTTTCTTTTTATTTTTGCAAAAACTTGTTAGTTCATACAGTTAATGAGCTATTACTATCCTTGCTGCAAAACCCCAGGCAAAGATCTCCCTTTATCATTTTGGAGAGTTTACATGGTTCGGTTTTTGGGAAGCAGGTTCCTTCTTGCTTCAAGTTCTTTACCCCGGTTGATTCTTCCGAGAGGTGACAAGAATAGCCACAAGTGATGCCTCTTGTTTCTTTCAAAAAAGCCCAATGGCGTGCTTTTTCTTATACCTCACAATGTGTAGAAGTGAGGAAAAAATGGGCACTATAGGCTGTGTGAACTATATTACCCGTGAGTTTAAGAACTCAAACATTATGCTATCCATATTTTTAAAAAGTGCTGTCAACCACTCTCCAACAAGGCAAATAGCTTTCCAGATAAACCTATCTATATATTTAGATGTTGAAGCGGTTGTTGGTATATTAGACCAAAAGGCAAATGAAAGTAGTTTCATACTAAAAGAGAATATTTGAGGGGCAAATGTATGAATCCTATTAATGCAAATATATGGAAATTGCTGTGTTAGATATATTTATGTAATAAGATGTTTGAAATATCTGCATGTTTTGAATATTTTTATAGTTCTTTATGTTTATACGCATTCTAAGAATTCATAGATTATGAACATTAATGCTAAATCATTGGTCCATGTTTTGAAAACGTGATTCATTCAATGTTATTTTCCTATTAATTAGGCCTTCACACTTTTGTTAACATAGATCATATGCGAAGTTGTATAATTGCCCAATGTAAACAGAAAAAAATATGAATATTATAATATACATATTCTATTTTTATTTTAAAGGGTGAGAGCCTGGAAGCCATGGTAACACTGACTCAAAACCTCTTTGATTGTGATAGAGATAAGATGTATTATTCTCTGTTGTTATTATACCGTAAGTAAAGTGACCAGTTTTATTTTGTTTCATAGGCTAGAGTTATTTATCATAAGAATATAATTGCTAAGCACCTCCCCAAAAGCTAATGCAACTGTGTAGTAGCATGAAAAATAGATATATATCCTTATAATAACTAATTAAAAATAACATATAAAAACCACTACAGAGGTTATAGAACTTCCATGTACCAGACAAGACTAAATATTAATGTCATCCAATATTGCCTGTTCTGAAAGGTTTCAAATCTCAGGAATAGATATTTCCTACCAGTTCTTAACTGGAAAAGACCAAAGTTCATCTTGAGGCCTCCATTGTGGAAAACACAGGGCATAGGCATCTTCTCCATATTGCTCAGATAAAAAGAGGATTCTATGTCTAGTTTCAGCTTCCTCACAAGGAAAAGGACCAAAACAGGCATCTTGCTTTTCTTCCCTTCTTACACATTGCTTTAAAAGAGATTTAGAAAACTTAAGAAATCTGATATCTGAACTACTTTCGTCCAGATATTATCTAAATGGGCTGGTTACAACCATGGTTTTGGATTCTGTTTAGCCACAAGCATAAAGGTCCGTATTTATACTTGTTTACATTTGTAACCATTTCCCTACAACTGAGGGCCTTCAGTTTCCTCATCTTCCTCTCCATCTCCCCACCCCGCTGCAGATTCTGTTGCAGGTTCTCATTTAAAGATCTTGGCATAACACTACTTTTCCTTCTTTCTGACCAATGCTCATATATTCTATTTAGGGGGGAAAAAGACCACAGGAAAAATTAAGTGGCATTTTTGCATTCAGTTCAGCAACTTGTCCATGGGTGAAATATTCAGTGTGTTTGGGCTGTATTCCAATTTACCAGTTGGTTTCTTTCTTTCAGCTCTAAAGTATTAACTTGAATAGGGAAACATTCTACAGTTGGCTTACTTTGGTTGAATGATAATTGAAGGTTTTTGTAAACCACCTATTTTCTTCTGCATAGGTGGTATTTATCTCTTGAGGAGTTTTTTAAAGAAAGTTGCCATTTCCCATCATTCTGTAGTACTGAACCATGTTTCAGAAATTCAAGAAGTGTCTGTGTAATTTCTCCCTTTACTTTGAACTGTCTTGTTTTGCTGTCTGCAAAAGAATTTGAAAAGTTCCTCTTTGCTATGTACATAATTGCTTTCAATAGAAGATAGCCAAGTACACTTGCATTCTTCCAAGCTTTTCATAATTTTACCGTTACGTAGGCAACTTGTTAAGCTTAAGAGGAAAATGTTATAAAATTGAGAGCTTCATAGCACAGGATGACTGACTGCATATTCAACTCAGGGAGGTTTAAATTTGGCAGGCATGTTAAATAACTGAAATCATTATTTGGGGGGGGGAATCAGAAGTTCATATGTATTTGTACTGTCAAACAGCTTTACAGCTTTTATATATATGCTTTTAAGAATGTGTATATTGCCGCTCAAAGTTGGAGCAGTATAGCCTCACATTGCAAATTCTGTTAAAACTAAGGGTAATTACAAAGGTGAAAATGTTTTGTGTTAAAACTCAGAGCAAATTATTTTTTCAGAGGTTCTGCTGAACCTTTTCAGAGAAGCTATAGTTTAGCCAAAACAAACTCTGAACATTTTGGTTGTTTGGGTGATTTGAACAAAACAGATTCCAGAAGATTTAACAGGACATGTAAGGCAAAGCTGAGACATAGTACCCCCATCCCTCACCCCTTCACATTAGAATAGTGGCATATCCAACCTCCCCACCCCCACCCCCATAGATACAAGCTTCCTTCTTTGTTTTCCCTTGACTACTTCTGCCACCTTGGAGTGGTGTCTATCCCACCTTCCTGCATCTTTTCCCAGTCTTCATGAAACAGCAAATGTTCAGTCATCTGCAACAAAATAACCCCATTTCATTCAGTGTGTGGACCAAAACATCAAAATCAGAAGTGGAAGTGTAAAAAATACAGGGGACTTTCTATCACATATGGTGGACCCGGAAACTCAAAAATATTGGACAAAAATTTGGAAATGGGTGGAAGAAATTACAGGAGAACAAATAAAATACAAACCCGAACTCTTTCTGCTGTGAATAATCAAGCGGAAATATACAAAGAAAATTAAGTACATATTAACACATCTGCTGACCACAGCTAGAATAGCATTTTCCCCAATGCTGGAAACAAAATAATATCCCCTCAGACGAATTAATGATACAAAATTTTTTGGATTGTGCAGAGATGGACAAATTAACACTAAAATTAAAAGACAAAGAAGAGTCAGAATATTATGAAATTTGGAACGATTGGTACAAATAGCTGCAAAACAAGAATAAAATTAATTAAGCTGAAAAACAATAGATAGATAGATGGATGGATGGATGGATGGATG